TTCTGATCGCGATAATTTTTTTAAGCGTATTCAAGCATATTGGACGTTAAAACGTATGTCAAGAAGTGGTGTACCTCTATTAAAACGTCTTCAAAATCAACGATCAACAAAAAAAAAAGTAAAACTGTTCCTTGTTTTTTATTTTTGTGAAACAAAAAAAAATGTGTCAATTATTTATTTTAGTCAAATAATGCGCAAGAATATACTGATAAACAATTATCTCAACAAATGGTTCAATGGCGTCGTCTTCGACAAGATCTTGAAAGAACAAGACTTCTTGTTGAATTAATACGTAAACGGGAAAAATTAAAACGTGATTTAGTAAGTTTAATTATTAGTGAAATACTTTTGCTTTTGTAAAAAGTTGATCAGCGCAACACCATTGGAACTAAAATGTGGAACTCATATGTGCGCTTTAGTCTTATTATACTGAAGTAAACTATGTAAAGTAAAAATATCTCTCGGACACTATAATTGTTTTTCAAGGATAATCAATCTTCAGGAAAACGATCTGTTCTATTTGTTAGTGCATTTCAAATAGAATTCCTTTTATACTAGTGCGTTATTTTTTTAATTTAATATCATTATTCTTATTCTAATCATTGATTTAAATAGCAAATTAGCCTATTGTACATACTTATTATATCTACAGCAGATCTCAACGTTCTATGAAATATTTCGATAAGCTCACAAGCATCGGTATTACCTATTTCATAAAGTTATAACTTGATCAGTTCATGCCTTTCCGATGTTGACTATATGACGATTGTGACAAATCAAAGCTGGATTAATCATCATCCTTGAGATCGATCATATAAATTTTTATTTGTGCAAATATCGTAAATTTCACTATTGAGAATATTTGCAAGTGTATTTCAGACATTGGAATTTTGAGTAAGGCTTTGGAATAGTCTTAGTCTTGTTGTTAATATCATTTAGCGTCTTTTTTCGCTGCTAAGAAGCGCTGAGACAGGAGTCTAATGTTCGTTGTCCTCAATTACTATGGAAACGTACCGAATGATCGTTGATCTCTGACTCCGGTTACCATTGAATGGAGACGCCGCAAAATTTCGACTTAAAACTTACATTTAGTATGTTTTTCTTCGAAAAATATAATATGAGTTTAACGAAAAACACTAACAAACTTCGTTTATATTTTAAGGTTAAAATTGATCAACAAGTGCTTGATAATCAAATACGTCCATTAAATGTATTTCTTCATCATATACTTGAACAATTAGAACAAATTGATGATTGTCATTATTTTGCAAATGCAGTTGATGAAACTGAAGTAAAATTTTAAAGCAAAAGAAAACATATTGAAGAATAATTTAATTATTAGGTTCCAACGTATTATAAATTTATAACACATCCAATGGATTTTTCAACAATGAGGAAAAAAATTGATCAAGATGAATACAATAATTTAGATTACTTTGAAAATGATTTTGGTTTAATTGTTAAAAATTGTCATTTTTTCAATGAAGCTAAATGTAAGAGAAAATGTATTTTAAATTTTATATCCAATTTTAATTCTCTTTTTGGTAAACCTGAAATTGGTAGAAAATAAAAATTTCGAAATAAAAAATGTTCAAAGACAAAAATGTTCAAAAGAGTGTGGCTCTGAGATGGAGTGTTGATGTGGGTGACATTGTTAGTGTGAGTAAAAATGAGGATGTAGTTGAGAGTATGAGTTTGTAGGTGTGGGTGTCTGTGTTGGTGAGGCTGAGAACGAGGATCAGAGTGCGGGTTAGGATTAGTATGAGGGTGATGGTGTAGGTCAGACTGTAATATGTCTTTGAGGCGTTCAGGGTGGGTGTGTTTTTAGATGACTTCCTTTCATGCAACCGGACACTCAGGGCTTACGCGTCATGCACAGCCTTTCTCCTTGCTTGGCTCATCCTCATGTCCCGATTTGTTTTTGGTATCCGTTTTCAACACTTTTTGAGCATTCATATAGTTCAATATTCAAATTTTCAAAAATTTTATTTTCGACGTTTTTCAGGAGAATATTTTTGTTTGTTTGTTCTATTTCAGCACCATTCTATAAAGCAGCAACAAAATTACGTGATAAAGTATGTTGTTTATTTGAAAAGAATGATTTACAGTTCTTTTTTCTAAGGGTTTAAATTTACTTAAACAAGCTCGACGAGTTTATGAAACAACACATTATGATCCAAAAACCGGACAACATAAAGAAGAATCTAATGTAGATGGTAAGACTAATCGTTTTATTTTTTCTTGTTCTTACGGCATAGATCGTCCACTTTAGATTCAGAATGATTGATACTGTATTGTTCTGTGTCGACGCTACCTAAACGAAGTGGTTCATCGATTGAGTAATTGTCAATCTGTCTCAGTATCGATCGATACCGTCTTTTGCATTATATCTCAAGAGATTTGTTCTGTAAATCGATATTTATTGCTACAGGGATATAAATGAAAAAAAATTATCTAATACAGTTAGCAGTGAATTTTTGAATGAGCACATTGTTTTCTGAAACGATCTAAGTTTTATTTTAAATTTGATTAATTTGTATACCATGCAGTAAGTCACTTTTGATAATATTTTAATATAGACACTTTTTTTGCAAAACTACTGCTGCGTACTAGCTACACTTTGACGGAAACTGTTGACTTTTGAAACTCTATACGAATATATTTTAGATCTTGATTATACATTTGAAGATCGTCTTGAAGTATTACTTCAACGATTGAAAGAATATCAAACAATTGGTAAAAAATTATTCATTATGTCTTATTGAAATTTTGAATTTTTTATTTTTTCTAATATTTGAAGAGCCTCGATCAAAACATGTTGTTAATTTAAAAAAACAAATAGCTCAAGTTCGTCGAACAATAACAAAAAATCTATCGAGTTCATCACTCAATAATAATAATAATGATGAATCTATTCTACAACGGACAACAAATGATGAATCAAGTAATAAATTGTAAAAAAATAAAAAATAAATATCTGTATTTTTTTTGTCTCTAGTGGAAACAGTTTCATCACTATCACCAAATGTTTCATCATTAAATGTAACTAAAAATCAATTAGAATTAGTTGATCTACAATCCATATCTCAAACGTAAGAATAACATAACACAAAAGATATTGTATCCTTAGAATAAATTTGACATAACATCTCGCAATGTTGAAGTGCAAAATAATATGAAAATTAAATAAAAGATTTCAATGAGTATTCATAATTCATCAGACCCTTTTGATTTTAAGCGAGTAATGGAATCATAAGGATCAGCTTGTTTTATATTCGGAAAAAGAAAGAATCTCAGAAGAAAAAGACGAATAGGTGTGTGTGACGCTCGTGGAGCTAAAGCTATTCAACCAGCTCATTTGACCTAATTGGAGGCTTCTCAAACTAATAATAAATCCTAACGCGGCCACCTCTAGGAACATCACTTGTTGTAAGCCTGGGGTCCATGTGAAATCCAATTGATAATATAAACATATAAGACACGAAGTTGTTACTAGTTTATCATGAACATATGAAAATAGTTAAATTGAACTATAGTTGTCTAGTCTTTTTTTTAATAGTCTTATTATTTTGTTTTCGAGACATTTTAAATCATATCAATGTACTGTACTAAGTATGGCCAATCTATACTTAAAAGGACATGGCTTAATTAAAAGTTATGAATGCATAACATAATAATAAATCTCACTGGGGTCTGGGTGAATCTCAAGTAGTCAGCAAGTGTTCACATGTACTTTGGAATTATCTACTCTCATAAATTATAGTTGGACGCAACTAACAAATATTATCCGTATACTGTACTAATACTCATTTCGAAAAAAATCACGACTGGATATTTTTTGAATGGCTTTTGATAGAAATAAGATAGAGCTGTGTGGTTTTTACCATTGGAGAGAATAGAAGAAGTTGCATCAAGTCATATATTATAGATGCTCCTAAGATATTATGTGAAGTTTTTTTAATCGAATCTGTATAAAAAAAAAAAGTGTTAGAAAAATAGTTTCTTTTGACATAAGAAAAAACAAAAATATGATTTTTTTCGCAGCAATTTCTTGAACTAGAATACCTATAGCTCCTTAATAACTAAATCTAACAATCTGATGCATAGATCTTCCATTGGCAGTTCGGATGTATATCTGATAATTGAAAATTCACCATAGCCACCTCACAGAGTATGTTGGTTTTGGAAAAGGCTGAAAACTGCAGCTTTTTATCTTGTTTCTATCAAAAATCATTTAAACGTTTCAACCCGCCCTTTTTTTTTTAATGGACATTAGTCTTTACTAGACCATATCTCAGACTCCAGATGATCGTGTCAGGGTTAATTAACTAATCACTTGAAGTATTAAAACGCCTACTGAACAACTCAAAGAACTGATTCATCAGCCCTTTTAGCTGAGAGTTGTCATAAACCTAAAGATAATCATCGAATAAATTTTTCTGCTATTTTTAAAATAATATTCTAGCAAAAACTGTCGATCTCTATCTATTAATTTCAATTTAGCTCTTCTCTATTTGATCAGATTTTAATACCATCAATAATCTCTTAAATGATAATCAATCGTCTTTCTGTTTTCCTCAATTAACTATCGAGTCATTCAATCTTTGTTTTTCTTTAGTGATAAATCCAAGCCAATAGAATCCAAAAATCAATCAGATGAAAGCAGTAGTGAATAACATGTCAAGTAAATACAATAGATTTTCTGATTACAAAAAAAAACAAACAAAACAATATTTTATTTAATTCTTTAGTTCTTTTCAATCATTGCAATTATGACCCATTCCTTTTTCTTTTTGTGTTTTTTTTTTGCGCGCAATCTTTATATATACTTTCGTGTGTGAATATTAATATCATTTTGATGTTATAATTAAGACTTATTCGTTTTATGTATATATTGTAGAGTGTTCCTATAAGATGATTTCTGTTTCTTTTCTTTTTTTGGCGCGCATTTATTCATCCATTTCGATTCTAATCATATCTTTAGATAAGTTTTGAGAATTATGTCGTGCTTTAAATGTGGCGAACCAGGCCATTTTGCTCGAGAATGTATGAATTATGCTGGTAATGATTCAACAACTTTTGATTCATTTAATGATTTAAACCGAAATGACAATACATTTAATAATCAAAATTCTTTTGTTTATAATAATAATAATGAACTACAACGTTGTTATCGTTGTAATGAATTTGGCCATATAGCACGTGAATGTTTGTCTGATAATGATATTCGTATGTAAATATAAAAGACTTTACTTATTATAATCGAATATTTTTAGGTACATGTTATAATTGTGGTCAAAATGGACATATTCGTAGTGAATGTATGGCATCAGTAAATCCAATGTTAAATATAAATAATAATTCAAGAAATAATCCTCAATGTTATCGTTGTGGTCAATTTGGGCATTTGTTAGCATTATTCTTTTATTTTATTTTTTATTTTTAAAGAAAAATTCTTTCTAGTGCTAGAGATTGTTCAATATCAATAGAGAATAATGGCGTTCCTGTACCTGGTATAACAAATGGTGTTTTAAATGATCGAAGTTTGTTTTTGTTTTTGCGAATAGTATATTTAAATATCTAAAAGGATTTTCATTTGAAATATAGTTTGTTTTAATTGTTCACGTCCTGGTCATATTGCTGTTGCATGTCCAGAAGGTACTCGAACAGATATGCGTGATGTTATTTGTTATTGGTAAAGAAAAAAAAAGAAACTTTTGTTTATATTTATTAATCATATTATTTAATGAATATTTTAGTTGTAACCGTTCAGGTCATTTATCTCGAGAGTAAGATTTTATTTTATTTTTAGTTTTCTTTATTTAATTTATTCCTGGATTATTAGTTGTCCTGATTCTAATATAAAATGTTATTCATGTGGTTTAATGGGTCATATGGCACGTGATTGTTCAAATAATCGTATATTTTCTTCATCATCATCAATTCAACAACGCCAAACAAATGTTTCACGACAATCATATAATGTTAACATGTCATTAATTAATTAAATAATGATAATTATTGAGTGCTGTTTTTCTTTAGACCTTTAATTTATCTTTTCTTTTTTGTTTTTTTGGTTGATTGACTTTCTGTTTTTTATTTGTTGATTATTGTTATTCAATATTTGACAAGCACAAGAAAACCTAGAACAAGAAAAAAAAGAATGTGAAAAATATATATGATAAAAAAATTTACTATTTGTATTTTATTATTATTATTATTTTATTATATTTTTTTTTTTGGTTTCTTTTTGGTTTTTCTGAATATTTTTTCTATTAGCTACACAGATTATACGATAGATATAATGAATAATTGTTGTACAATTACACGTTATTATGGTAATAATGAACATGATCTTCAACAACTTTGGCGTTTCATTGAACAAGCTCAAACTTATGCTAATCGAATATTAATTGGTGTAAATATTGAAAAAGATTTAACTGATTGTATTAAAAAATATTCTCAACGACAAAAATTATCTAATATACCAGTTGATTTTATATCAATTCAACCATGGGTTGGAATATCGACACCACTGAATATTCTTTTAAGTCTTCTTTCATTAAATGAAACATCTGTTCTAATTCAATCAATTGAAATTCAATGTACATCATATCATATTGATCGTTTACGATCATATCTTAAAGAAAACGATATACTTTGTGTTGGTGCTACACTTGATGGCCATCAAGTAGTTGATAATCAATCAGATAAACAATATCTTCCTTTACAAGGTGATACAAGTCCTTGGAATACATGTAATTTGTGGAATTTAGAAAAATTACGTCGAACAGGTTTTCCCATATGTTCAGATTATGTTAATCCACCAGGTATGGAAGATGGTGCTGTTATTGCTTTACAACAAAAATTATTTGGTGGTATGAAAAAAAATCGTGCCTTACTTATTCATTTTAATGATAATGTTCATTGGTTGACTCAATTTGATTATAATGAAGAACGACATTTAAAACATCAAATGAAAATGAAATCAAAAAATCAGCGATTTAAACAATTATTACAAATGTTAGATATATCTGATAATGATCAAAAAGATTGCATTGGTATCGAATATATTAATGATAAACCATAACAGTGAGTTATGATATTGAGTTTATAAATTGCATGATTAATTTAATTTTCTTAATTCATTGAAATCGAAACATCTTTTTTTCGATACTATAAAGATATTCTCATTATTATTTTGTTATGTACTAAACTAAGCATGTAAATAACTAGATAAGCGAACTAAAAAAAGTAAATCGAAAAACATCTTTTTGTTTTACATTCATTTTAAACAAAAACAAAATTTATAATAAAACTAATTCTTATTAAATATAATCGATAAAAACTTTCTCTAGTTCTTGTGGAATATTTTTCTCATTATGTTTTTAATATAGTTGTATTAGGAATAATTGATAAAGTATTTTTTGTCATCTTCAATTGTTGATCGTAAAATATTTGTTTGTTGAATTGTTTGTTGATAATCAATTAAAGTTCTAATACACGTATGACAGAGATTAAACTCTAATAGTGAAAGATTTTCATAACATATTGTACAAAGTGGAACGAAGTCTTTATTTTTAAATATAAAATCAATAAAATTAGCTGGTAATATAGACATTCGCGTCCAACGTTGATTTGCATCTTTGACGCGTTGACGTAATTCTTGGTTTTTGATTTTTGAAAAATATGGCCGTGATGCTTTGACCATAACATCGTGTTTTGAACAATGTTTGTTTGTTATATCGATATCTCGAAATGTAATTGTTGATATTCTTGGACTGTTTAATGATGAAAACGTTTGCTGTTTTTCGATAATTAATTTTCTTTTTGATGAACAACAGGAACATGTAAATAGAGAACGAAATAAATTTATATAACGATAATGTTTTGGTTGTTCATTTCGTATTTGTGTACATGTTGAACATGAACAATAATATGACTTTGTTCTGGACATTCATGATCGAATAAAATTGAGATTATTTTAAAATAAAAGTTACCCTTTTTTTTTGTGTGTGTTCTTTTGTTACTACGGTCGTAATGACATTGAAATGTAAATGAGAAAAAAAGACGAATTGATCTTCTTTCCTTGAATAATTAATATAGGTTGCTTTGTAAATAAAAGAAGATGAGAATAATTTATTGGATTAAACAAATATGAGAATAAAACAACGGGAAAAAATTGCTTTTAAAGAAATAAAATTGTTTTCTTTTAAATGATTTTTTGAAAAAAAAATTTGAAAAGATTCATCACCAAGCTCTTTGTATATATCATACAATTTTAAAGGGCAACCTTGATATCATAGAACAATGATAGACGTGTATAGACAATTTACATCGTACGAAAAAGATATTGAACTTAATGTTTTTTTTTTTCTTGTCAATATTGAATCAAATAATAATAGAATTCTTTTTTTCCAGATGCATCATTCAGTATTCTTTAATCTAATACTTTATGCACTTTTTGCATTGACCACTCTTTATCTGTTTGTATACATCCATGAAGAAATTCCAGAACCCTATATGGATGAATATTTCCATTTTCATCAAGCAGCTAACTATTGTTCAGGAAATTACAAACACGTAAATATCATTGATTGATTATTTTAAAACGAAGAAAAAAAAAACAAAAAGAGACTTTTTTTTTATATTTAAGTGGGATCCAAGTATAACTACACCACCTGGTTTATATCTAATGACACATTTATTCGAAACGGTATTAAATAGTCTTCAAATATTAGATAAAACATTTGGTCAATGTTCATTAGGATTGGCTCGCTTTACAAATGTTATTTTTATGTTAACATTACCATTTATTTTTATGAAATATCTTAAAAAAGTAAAAAAAGAAGATGAACAAGTAAGTAAAAAAATAAGAAAAAAAAAACTACAAACAATAATCAAAAATTTTTTTTGATCGATCAAAATGTGTTTGATGAAGGAATTGTTGTCATTCAGAATAAAACTACTAGAAATTATACGTTAACTTATTTTTGTCTTCCGATTATTATAAATCATCAATCTTAAATACTCGTATGTGTTTTTTGTTTTGAAGCGAAACATCTCGATAATAGTATCACTTATTTTTCGAAATTTTATTTCTAGTAGAATTTATTATTCAATCGCAAATTTTAGACGTCATTCAAGTGCCATCGAAATTCTTGAGAACATTAGCTGTAATACATCATCTTTGTTTGAGATGTTGAAAAAAAAACTACTAGTTTTTGTTATCAAAATAAGATGCAGATGAGTGCTCTCATATGTCTTCCAAAAAACATTGAACACTGAATGAACAATATTTAATAGATTGTTGATGTTTAGTTTCGTACGCTCTAACAATTTTTACAGCCTATATCGAAAAAGTCTTTAAGTGGTGGAAACACTTTGACATGATGTTTTGCTTATAATTAGATCAGTCTGAAATTAATGAAAGTCTGATAGGATCTGACATGACAAATTTTTCTGGGCTGAAATATCATTCTTTTCATAACATTTTTCTTGTCAATCTCCAAAACACTTATTCATAGTTGACATAATGAGTCAAATGATATGTAATAGTTCTGAATATTTTATCATTGCTATAAAATTATGATCTCAAATTTTCTCAGATCTCAATTTTGACCATGCAAATTTATTGACAATCTGAAAAAGACTAAATTTTATCGAATACTATTATTACTGTTGTAACATGCGAGACATGTCTATTTGAACTTATCATTTACAAATTTATTTATTTTTAGACTTCCATGTTCTCTGCAATATGTATAAGTTGTCATCCGTTAATTTATTTTTTTACTTTTCTTTATTATACTGATGTTGGTTCATTATTTTTTGCTATGGTATCTTTGACAACTCATGTTTATCATTATCATTTGTGTTCGGCTATGTTTTCTATTATTGCTTTAACATTTCGTCAAACAAATATAATAATTGTTGCTTATGAAATCGGTTTAACTATAATTGAAGAATTTCGTTTAAAAATTAAACAAAGTCATATATTACATGTTTATACATCTCGTTCAAGTGACACAATTGAAACAAAAGAATACTTAACTGTTCTATGGAAATATGGTCGATTAGAAATTAAATTTATTTTAAATCTTATCCAATCTATTATTTGGAAATGTCGATATAATCTATGTGTAATTATATTATTTTTAATATTTTTTATTAAAAATAATTATTCAATGACACTTGGTCATCAAGAACATCATCAAATTGTATTACATCTAGCTCAAATGCATTATTATGCTACGTATACTGCATTTTTTGTTAGTGCTCATCTAGTAAGTAAGATTTTTTTTGATTTATTTTTTAAAAATATAATTATTTAGTACAAAAAAAAGTCAAAATTAATATTAGATAATACTTAATGGCTACTCACTAGAAGTGAAATGAATTTTTATCAAGGGAAAGTGTATATGTACCTAACAATACAATATAGTATCATTTTTGTAGAGAAAGAATACAAAAGAAGTGTGACAATGACAACCCTTGATGAGTATCTTTTTTCGTTTGAAGTATTAATTATTTATATCTCAATTGCGTGTAACAATACTAATAATAGTTACATGATAAAAAGTTGTTTTTGAAATAAGTCGACACTTAGGCTATCTTTAGTCTAGTTTATTAAGTAAATCAAAATTGTTAATAATGTTACTACAGCAAATAACAATAAGTCAATGCGGCTTATTTTCAGTGGGAAAGTATTTTGCATTTGAAAGGTTTGAAATAGGTGAAAAGAACGAATGATTACTTAATTGTAATAAGTTTTCCATATTAATAAATTTATGAAGTGTCGCTGGTTAAATATTCTGTTAAGGAATTGAATTTTAAATAATAAATTTTATTTACACTAGAACTAGAGAGATGTGTAATCTTAAGAACTCGACAACGATAACAGCTAGTGATCTGTGATTTTCATCCTCAAATTATTAAAGAAAAACATCTGAAAATAGGATTTCGTTTTGAAGAAAATTTTGATATAAAGTCAGAAAATTTGTTAAAAATCAGCAGAATTCTATATAATTTTGCACAATAGATACGCAATTTTGTTTGCCGAACATTAGGATATGAGAAGATAATCACCTGAATCGTGTCTTCAACTCTAGATCCGAAGTTCTTCTCTCTGAAGAATATACGAAAATCAAAATTACCTCATAAAGGAACATCATTATCTTGCATTTTTTTAAATTTTTTTCAGAGATGATGAATTTCAGCATAATTTTTATCCTGTATAGTATCAAATAAAAAGACATTCGGCGTTCTCCTCTTTGAATTGCTGAAAACTGTAGGTCACGGACTGTTGATGTTATGGAGCTTAATGTTCACTGCTCTTTAATCCTGGTGCGAACATTAGTTTAACTTATATCTTCACCTGTTAGCTTCTTTCATATGATTTGGTTTTTTCATCTTCAAGTATAATAAACATTCGAGTAATCTTCAAATCATATGAAACACGTCAATGAACTTCTGTTCTATAGGATTCTTGTAATTCATCGAAATGTCACAAATCTGAATATAATTAAAGTTTCTAATAAAAAAAATCAATTATCTAATATTGTCCATTGAATGAATTATCTTATTTTATTCTTTTTTTAGTTAACAAAAACAAATCTTCTTCGTCTACTTCGATTTATTCGTTCACATTCAATTGCTTGTATTCTTCTATTATTATTAATAAATACAAGTATAAAATATTTTACATATGAACATTTATTTCTTATATCTGACAATCGTCATTATACATTTTATATATGGTCACGTTTATTTAAACGTTACAGTTTATTCCGTTATTTATTAACCCCAATATATAGTATTTGTATAATATTACTTTATTTTCAATTGTATGATCGATCATTATTAAATATTCTTCTTTTATTAATATGTACAATATTATTAACTGTATTTCAAAAATTATTAGAATTTCGATATTTTATATTACCATTTATACTTCTTCGTTTATCAATTAATGATAAAAAAACTTGGCGATTATTCTTTGAATTTTTTCAAGCAATAATTATTAATATTATAACATTATATGTATTCTGTCATCGAACATTTTTTTGGTCAACACATCCGAATATTATACAAAGATTTATGTATTAGTGAAGTTCGACATTGAAATGACATAAAAAATTTTCTTTGTATTTTTGTTATGATTTTGCTTTCATTTCTTTTCTTTTTCATCTGCATCAAAAGTAAACATAATTGTTATTGAGAATTGTTGTGGGGATAAAAAAAATCACTGTTTGACATAGAAATTTTCTTTTTGCTATGAATAATTGTGACGAAAGTAAATATTTGGTCACGGTTGACACAACTGAAAAGGAAAACAGAAAGAAAAAGAAAACCTAGAGAAATCGAGTTCATGATTACGTCTTTGAAATTGTCCCATTATTCTCTTTATTCACAATCACTGCATGCACATTACTGCGAAGTTTTTTTTCTTTCTTGTTTCTCAATGTCTCAGCGAGAAAAAAATCGATGAAGAAACTTCTTTATTTGTACTTACCAAAAGAAACTTTTTTAAGAATAAGTCATTTCAAAGAAAAAAACACCCACACACAGCAGTTTTTTTCTTTTTCAGAAAAGAATTTGTTTTTTCAATGTGTGTCAAAAGCACGCATTTTAAAGCAATCTTTACGTGCTATAATGGGCCCATATCTGTTGATCATGTACGTGTGTATGTGTTAATGTTTATCAAGGGAGCAGAAAAGATACTTGATCGTGTGATCAAATTGTTTGATATTTTTTTTATTATCATAAGACATGTGCAAATTGTGAAATTCTTCGATATTAAATTGAAAGATTTATTTGGTTCAATGAGTTAAAATGCCAAATTTCGGTTATTAGTTTAAAATATTTCAAAAAAAGATCAGTCAACAATAAGAATAAATATATTACGCATATACCATGAGGTTTGCTATGACCGCAAGAAGATTTAAACTACATGAT